TATTTTTTTTCTTTCCTCCCTCCCCCACTATTATGTTTACCTATCATTCACCTATCAGTAATTTCTCTCAGATGCAGTTTGATTGACTTTACTCTACCAGAAATGCTACACCCTCGTCATCAATTTTAGAACACTTAATCTTCCCCTGTACCCGTCACCGTTGGCAAAAAAACAAAAAACAAAACTATTATGGGAGGGGGGCGCCGGGGGAATAATAGGAGTCCAAGAAGAAAGAAAATGTATTGAAACTGATTGTGGTAGCAAATGTACAATACTGCTTGATGTGATTGAATTATTGCTATGGTATCTGTTAAGAGCTCCCAATTAAAAAAAAAAAGTTCTGGAAAGCTATTTTCTAGAGAATGAAACTTTTTTCCTGTCCTATACATTGTGAAGTTCATCTTGGTTTAGTCTTGGACTACTTACAGGACTATTTATATGTCTGAGAGGAGTTGTTAAGCAGCGAAAGTCAAATCACCCTTGTAATGCTCTTCGACCCTCAAACTCACTGCCATAGGCTCTTAGCAACTTCCTGGGGCAGGGAGAACTGCCCCTGTGCAGTGTCCCGACTGAACTCTTGACGGGAGTAGAAAGCTCAGTCTTCCTTGGAGCGGCTGGTGGTCTGAAACTGCCAACCTGGCGGGTTGCAGCCCAACTCACGACTACTACAACACCAGGGCTCCCTGCAATACACTTAGACAATCACGATGGAGTCTAGCAAAGGATCAGCTTCTACGCAACCAAGACACTTGGTCTGTTGGCCACTGACCCCCTGCCAGGTTTTATTGCTCAGTGGTGGCTTAAAGGACAGTGATATCAGAAGCGAAGCCATTGGGATTTCAAATGCCCAGAGGGTCACCCGTGGTGGACAGGTCTTGGCAGAGCTCCCACGGACTAAGATGAACTAGAAAGGTGGGCCTGCTGACCTAGCTCCTGAAAAATAGCCAAAGAAAACCTAGGGGAATATTGACCACCACAGAATATTGTCAATACCGGAGGGCTAGAAGATGAGCCCCCCACGGTTGGAAGGCAACAATGGACTCAAGCATGTCAGGGATCAGGGCGTTGCAGGATGGGGCAGCATTTTGCTCTATTGTACAAGGTCAATAGAGTCACCTCCAATTGAGTTGGAGGTAACTCAAAGGCATCCAGTAAGCAAGCCTGTGGAAGATGAGCTGTTGGTAAATACCAAGACGGACTCCCCACTGGATCAGACGTGCACACCGTCTTCTCCGACAGGCTGCAGTGCCCAGCATCACAGGCGTGCTTTCCTGATCACTTTGCACGCCGGACCAGTTTCCTGAAACCACTCAGAGCCCGGACTCCCAGGGACCACCTTGTTTTTGCCTCCCAGATTTCCCTTTGGCAGCGCTTACTTAGTAAGCCTTCTCTTTGGTTTGTGTTTTCCCTGACGGGTTTCACTGCTCAGTGCTCAAGAGCTTCCCTTGCATTGTCAGTCACCTCGACGGCCCAGCCCAGGTTGCACAACTTGGTAAGTGGTGCATCAGAATCACAATGCAGAGTTTTGCCATTGCAACTGGGGGTGGATTTCCAAAGTGGAGTGGACTGGTACCCAGCATTAATTAACCTCACCTTCCTTTGCCATTCTAACCCAACCTGGGAGGCGCTGCAGTGAAGGCCTTGAACACTTCTCCAGCAAAGAGCTGCTTCTTCCCAGCAACACTGCCTTCCCACCCACCAAGTTCAAGCTCACTGCCATTCAGTCAGTTCAGACTCACGGCGACCAGAGGGCAGAACTGCCCCTGTGGGTTTCTCAGGCTGTAACTCTGTACAGCAGTAGAAAGCCTCATCTTTCTCCTGAGGAGGGGTTGGGAGTTTTGTTTTTGTTTGTTTAATCGGTTTATTGGGGATTCTAACAGATATTATAACAATCCATAAATCAATGATATCAAGGAAATTTGTACTTCAAAACATATCTTTCTACTTGAGCCCTTATCAGCTCCTCTTTTGTAAGGCTTGAGTTTTGAAGGGCCAACCTTGAGACTGGCAGCCCAAACTACACCACCAGGGTATTCCCACCCACCAAACCCAAACCAAACCAATTCCCTGACATCCTGCAGATGCTGACTCATAGTGACCCTACAGGATGGGGTAGACTTCCCTTGTGAGTTTCCAAGACTAGCTCTTTACAGAAGTAGAAAGCCTCATCTCTCTCGTGTGGAGCAGTTGGTGGTTTCGAACTGCTGACCCTGTGGTTAGCAGCACAATGCATAGCCACTGCACCTCCAGAGCTCCTTTCCCATCCACATTTATCATATAAATGCTTCCTTCTATGCATAACAGCAAGGTCAAGGTTCCTTCTTCATGTTTCTCTTGTGAGTGGATTTGTACATAATCACAGAGGGGTTGAGGGAAATTTTGCAAAAGCTCTCTCAAGAGGATAAACAGCTAAAGCAATCTTCCTGACCAGATGTCAACAAGCCAGCCTTGTATGACGACTGAAAACAACTTTTGTAGATGAGCCTAGGCACTCAGGTGGGCCTGGGTCACCAGCTGGGGACACACCTGGGCCCAATTTGAAGCCCAGTTATTGCTGAAAATCTATGTGCACGTGGGCTAGTTACTGAACCAGAGCTGCAGTTTTCTGATCTGTGAAATGTCTTTTGACTTCCCAGAGCTCATTCATCCACTCTACAAATACTCACCGATGAGCTACTATGTACCAAACACTGGGAATAAGCAATTAAAAGAGAAGCGATGGCTACCGTAAAACACGGCTTCTTAAATAAGCCTTTTTACCCTCCACCCCTTGCCACCCAAGAAATTAGCAGCACGGTCAAATGCTGCCAGAAACACCTTGGAATCATTATGGGTTTGATTTGGCATTAATTGCTGGTCCCAGGGTGTTCAAAAACTTTAATGTTGCTCAAAGTTTCACGACTTGGCCCCTCCTCCTTATATTGTTATGCCACCCCCACCCCCGGGTCACGGCCCACCTTTTAAGCCGCTTTGTTCAAGGAAGACTTGCATTCCTGGGGGGTGCGAGGGCGGAAATTAAATGTAAGTCCAAACTGTTCTTACAGTTCATGGCTGTGTGAGACAGGCCAGGGTTGCGCTTGCTTTCGGCTCTCCAAAGAAACATTGCCGTGAGACCTGGCGGACAAACCCTGAGCAGTCAGCTCGGAGTTCCCGGGAAGAGTCATGAGTTTTCCCGGCCAGCAGGCGAGAAAGGTTTGCAATACCAAACACGGCTGGACCAGCTCCGAGCAAGGGAGACCTGGTCCAGGGGGAGGTGGGGGAGGAGGCCGTGCTGAATGCTGACGCTGGGCTTGACTCCACGAATTGGAGGAGCCCCGCTCATTCACAAGTAGAAAATACCTCGGTTCGATTTACGTTTTTAAAGACTACGTTCTGGCTCTACTCAGAGAATGGTTTGCAAGGTGGGCGAGCGGTGCCGGGGATGCAGAGCAGTGGGCATGGTCACTTTTCTGTGTCTGGCACGTTCCCTGGTCTCGCTTATTACTGTCCCCATTTGGGGGCGGATACGTAGAAGCACAGACTGGTGGGTACCTGGCACGCGCAAGGTAAGTGCTCAACTCGCACTTGTTACTACTATCTGCTAGCCTCAGTCCCCGAGAAGCCCTGGGAGTGCAAGGCACACCACAAGGTTTGCAGTTTGAAACCACTAGCCGCTCCGAGGAAGAAAGGAGAGGCTTGATATTCTTGTAATGAATTCCAAGGGTGCCCGACTCGCAATGGCTGGGAGGGAGTCCGAGCCCACACACCTAGTCAGAGAAGCCGGAAGAAGAGCCAACGCGGCGGGGCCCCTCGCCCCGATCCCCGGAGAGGAGTCAAGTCTCCCACCGCGCCCCGCAAAGGTGGCATTTCTGGAGGGAACTGAGGCCCAGGGAGCAGACTGGAGCCTGAATTTCAAGCGCTTCACCCAGGGCTGACTTCAACCCGGCGACCCAGAAACAGGAGGCGTCACTCGGCCTGAGCCCCGGGCCAAGCCGAAAGCAGCAGAAGCGGACAGCGGCGGCGCACACGTACCTGGAACAGCCTGCGCGCCCTCGGCCAACGGCGCCTGCGCGGGGTTCAAACCTCTCGCCGGCGGCGCGCGCCCTGAGACCCCGCCCCTTCCTCTTCCGGGAAGCCCGCCTCTGGGTCCTAGAGCCCGCCGGATCCGGAGAGAGTTCAGGGTGGTGTGTCCCCAAGAAGGGGCCCGGGAGAGACCTGGACGCTTCTAGCCTCCTCTCTCTCTCCCAGCCACTCCTGCAAAACCAAAGTCAAACCCACTGCCATGACCCGTAGCGACCCGTGCAGGGTTTCCGAAGCT